TATATATATATATATATATGAGTATCCAAAGTAATTTTTTTGTTAAAGCTTCTAAAATTTCCCTTTTTGCGTACCTAACTTAATAACAACTTAATTATAAATAAGTTTTTCATGAGGATTATTAATTTCCTTTTTAACATTGCTTAATAAGGAAAATATTAATTAATTTTCGCAATTTAACTTTATGGCTGAAGTTTTCATCTCCCTTTTTCTGCCTTAGCTTCCTCGCCAATCACCTATAATTGTAAGAATTTACATTAGGATTTTGTAAATAGGTAAATTAATAAGGATCTACAATCTTAACATAATAGTAAATAAATAATTTATATTTCATAATTTAATTTAAATCAATTAAAATTAATACTTTAACTTAGCATACCCTCTGCCTTTGCCTACTAAACGAACTGAGCCTTGCATAGTTGAACTCTCTCGCATGTAGAGCTCCCGCGAGCCCTTCTTCTCCGAGCTCTTAGCCGAGCGTCCATAGTTCGCTTGAGCCCTCTTCCTCTTCCTTCCTGTGCGAGACGCATGACACGGAGGGCCCGTCTCCTTCCTTTTTGAGCCGCCGCTCGATAGGGCTTTGAAGTTGCGATTGGAGTTCTCCTCTACTCTCTTTTGCTCAGGCGAGCTGTTCGAGCCTTCCAGGTACTTAGGGCTGTAAATGAGCCGAGCTTAAGCAAGCTCAGGCTTGGCTCGTGTTCGAAACCGGCTTGTGAACAGTGTGTTCGTGTTCTGCTCGAAATTGACTCGTTAAAATTAAACTAAAAAAATAGATGTAGAGTGTTGGATTCGAACCTGGATCAAAGGGAACAAATATATGCAAAACAAGACGCATAACCACATTACTACAAGAGCAGTTATGATTTAAACATAGATATAAATATATAATATATTATTATATAAATAATATGTGTAATATATTATTATATAAATAATTATATAATATTTTTATTTCGAGTTAAAACGAGCTGAACACTAGCGAACAAAGAGCTGTTCGTGTTCGACTCATTTATAAATCAAACTTTAAAAACTTGTTCGTGTTCGACTCGTTTACTTAACGAACAAGCCAAACACGAGCTACTTAACGAGCCGAACATGAGCTGTTCGCGAACGAGTTTTTTTTGATAGCCTTACAGGTACTCAATCGAGTTTCATCTTTTCCCTCCTTTCCTTTGATGCTCGTGGCACTCAGTAAAGCCGATCGAGCTATCTTCCCTCCTTTTTCTTCCTCCTTTACTGTAGTTGCTGCTTCCCCAACTTCTTCCTTTCCTTCTTCCTCTACCTCACCCTCTTGCTCTCTCACATTCCCCCTTCTCTCTCGTGCACTCTATTGCTCTATGTGTGCATGAGGTTGAATGGGAGCAGACGAGGAATAAACCTCATCTTAATGCTCTCATGAGTGGTACGGTCTCGCTCGAACGACACC